GTATTTTTCTAGTTCTGAGATGGCAAAACCCATTGCTGAAAGGAGTACTTCTGGGGGCAAGGGGAGGAACTTCTGGTGGCAAAGGTCAGGGGTTAGGGGGTGGGACTTCTGGTCACAAGATGGCAACCAGGGGGTGGGGCACCTGTCAAAGGGCAGGGCTACCCATGTGGCCCTTGACAGCTTGCCAAAACTCGGTAAGCGGCCCTCCGCCCAAAACAATTGCCTGCCCCCGGTCTAATAAAAGATATCCTATCTACCCAAAGAACCTTGCCTGCCTTGTGAATGTATAGCGAACATAAGTAGATAATTACTGACAAACTTGTGTTAAAAATAAAAATAATACCAACAACAACAATATTACAATTTTGTGAATTCACCATTTTGTTGTTAGCTCTAATGAGATGATTGAGCTTGCTTCTTGGCAGAAAGCACATGAAGGTTTGATAGGATAGATGACAGTTTCAGTCTTAGATCTCCTTCAACATTCAGTTTGTTTTTCTCAGTACTAAGGCTGGAAATCCACTTTCACGTAAATACATGGTGGTGAACAGCATCAAAACTTTAATGGCCTTATCTGTCAGATCAGAGTACTCCTTTTTTAATTTCAACCAGAATCAGGCAAGAGATTCCAGCTTGAATTCAAGTTTCGGTCCCTTGTCACAGGATAACCTAAGTAATTGCTTTTCTTATTTAGCTGTTAGACAAGACCTAGAGTTGCAGTCTGATACAAAGGGGTTATGTATCCACTCATTCTCATTGCCCTTTTCAGGAAAGTACTGGAAAAAATGAGATTTGAGTGCCAGCAAGTGTTCCTTGATTTTGCATTTCACATCACTGTCCAGCATCAACTTGTTTTTAGCCAAAAAGCCATCAAGGGTTTCAAATGTATCAAAGTCATCTCCTCTTACTTGAGAAACCCAGAGTTTGAAGCTCCTTGATGAAAGCCATCATGTACAATCCCCTGCATATGCAGGCAACCATTCACCCAGGGATTCCTCCCAGATTGCCCTCATAAATTTGTAACCCTAGCCATGGTGCTAACCATGGCCATGCCTGGATTCAGGGTCCTAGGGTGTAAAACAGGGTCAGCCTCCCAGCCCCTAAGGCTGGCGTCATCTCACTGTGGAGTGTTTTCTTGTAGTTTCCCCATGCACTGGAGAACATACAGTCTAAACATTTACACAGTTTATTATTTACAAAACAGTCAACATATGAATTAGGGATGTGTGAAATTTCACCTGGTGTTTCATTTTGAAGCTGTTTCGATGCATTTTGAGCTCGAAACAGCGAAATCAAAATGAAACAAAAGCCTTCAAAACAGCTTCAAAACGAAACAAGGGCATTCAAAATGTTTCGTATTTTGAAGCCAGACTTACTTGGCTTGAGTGCTGGTCCCAGGCAGCAGCAGCAGCCTCCTGTCACCCAGCAAGTGGATCCGGGGCCTGCCCACACCCCTGGGAGGGCTGCAGGGCTGTGCCAGGCTCCTCCCGGGGGTGCAGGCCCCTAATCTGCCAGCTGGATGACAGGAGGTTGCTGTTTCCAGCTGGGACCTTTGCTGGGCTCAACCCACGTCCAGCGCTGGGAAGATCAGTGCTGCCGTTGGCCCCAGCCGGCAGCACCAGCCTCCTGTCATCCGGCAGGCAGATCAGGGCCCACACCCCTGGGAGGACTCCAGCACAGTCCCAGCAGTCCTCCCGGGGGTGTGGACAAGCCGCCGATCTGTCTGCTGGATGACAGGAGGTGGGTGTTGCCGGCTGGGGCCAGCGGCAGCACCAATCTCCCTGGCATGGGCTGTGTCTAGCATTGGTCCCAGCTGGTGGCACCAGCCTCCTGTGATCTGGCAGGCCAGTCGGGGGCCCCCTGCACTCCCAGGAGGAGTCAGCAGAGCCCCACAGCCCTCCTGGGGGTCCTGATTGGCCTGCCAGATCACAGGAGGTTGCTGCTGCCGCCTGGCGCAGCCTGCATCCAATGCCGGGAAGATCGGTGCTGCTGCCAGCCTGAGCAGGCAACACCAGCCTCCTGTCATCCAGCAGACAGATCAGGGGACCGCCTGCACCCCTGGGAAGCCGCAGGGGTCCAGGCCCCCGATCTGCCTGACAGATGAGAGGAGGCTTGTTCTGCTGCCTGGGGCCAGTGGCAAAGCAGGATGTGCTGGGACCCGCCCCCACACCAGGGATTGGGGCGGGGCCCTGCACCCTCCTTGGGTCCGCTCTGGTGTGGGGCTGGGGCAAATCAGATTTTTGTGTCGGGACCCCCCTCCACCCCGGGATCAAGGCGGGGGCGGGGCCCCGCACCAGAGCCAACCCGAGGAGGGTGCAGGGCCCTGGGGTGGAGGCAGGTCCCTGCATGAGCTGATTTGCCCTGGGACCCGCTGCTGGCCCCAGGCAGCAGAACCAGCCTCCTGTCATCCGAGAGGCAGATTGGGAGCCTGCGCCCCTGGAAGCAGTCCGGCAGAGTCCCCGCAGCCCTCCCGGGGGTGTGGGTGGGCCCCTGATCTGTTAGCTTGATGACAAGGCTGGTGCTGCTGGCTAGGGCCAGTGACAGCACTGATCTTGCTGGTGCTGGGTACAGGCTGTGTACCCAGCCTCCTGTGCAGCCTCCTGTGATCCAGCAGGCCTGTTGGGGGCCCCCCACACTCCTGGGAGGGCTGCCGAGCTCTGCTGACTCTTCCCAGGGTTGCAGGGGGCCCCCAATCTGCCTGCCGGATCACAGGAGGCTGGTGCTGCCGGCTGGGACTGGCACTGGGTACCGCCCATGCCAATAAGATCAGTGCTGCCACTGGCCCCAGTCAGCAGCACCAGCCTCCTGTCATCCA